TTCATTTGGAGATGCTACTGATCAGGGATGTTGGCAAGTCTCTGGGTCCGCAAGTATGATTCCCTATTCAAAATAAGTTTTTTCCACCCAGAAAATAAAAGGGGAGGTGCTTGGGTTCCAAGTCACAAGTCAAGTCTGAGACATTAAAAAGCAGAAAGAAGGAACCAAGTCGATTTTGAGGCAGGTCACTGGCTTGACTTAAACCTGACTTGACAGTGACTCCTGTGTTTCAGGTCCTCAACCCTCCTGCTGATTCATGAATGTTAAAATCTTGTGTTTGCTCTCATGCCACTGTGCAGCGATACAGTGCATTGCATCTGAAGTTCTCAAAAGTAATAAGCACCCAAACCTAAATATATCAGCTTCAGTTTAAAGGAGCCAACAGGTGCAATCACAATGTACATAAAAACCATTTGACCATTGACTGGAGTTGCTGCATTAAAAGCTTGTGTGTCTGCGTAATCCTAGCCATAGCATTCAGAATGACTGGCATACAGAGGAAACTCCTGTCTTCGTATACGGGCTTGCACACACAGTACAGTTTTCACTTGCCATACTAAACTAAACACTTTTGTTGCCACTGTCAGTGGGGACGTTTGGATTTAGCCCAGTGAGACTAGCCTAGCCTAGGAAAATTACTATGGTTCCCAGAATCCCACACCGACCGGACAACTGCTGAGTTTGGCAGGTTACTTTCAGAAAGGAATTCCTTCCGTTATTCATTACTTTGCTTATATTGTTAGACACCAAAAATAAAAAATAATTGTCCATCCCATTATTTGTAAGATAAATCCAAATCTTGTTACAAGGAAAAGTCCGAGGACAACTTGTTTTATAAAAGTGAATCCATGTTAGCAGGGCTGGAACAATATCAGCAATAAATCTCAGCAAACTAAAAGTGCAGTCAGATGGTGATACTGCTCTTGCTTTGGAATACTTGTGCTAGAATCTGATTCAAACAATTTTCCAGTGCTACACAATATACAAGAAATCCCGAACCAACTGAACGCTGCTCTTCACTCAGCCTAGACCTTTTTGGTCCACCAGTAGGATTACCCTTTTCCTTCCGTCTTCCTTCCTTCCTTCACTTTGATGCAAGGTTGTTTATCTCAACATAATAGGATGTTTCTGGAAATAAAAGATTGTCCGTCTGCATGCCATTGCCTAGGGGATGCCCAAGTGCACTTGCAATGCTTTTCCAATCTTTGAGGAGGCTCCTTCTATGTCTTCCCCCCCCCAAAAAAAAAGACAATTACAGGGTAGGTGGGGGGGTAAGTAGAACAGGGCTACTTGGATACAAGACAATGTTTCTATGACTAGGGAGAAATTCCATTGAAAAAGATTGTCCGTCTGCATGCCATTGCCTAGGGGATGCCCAAGTGCACTTGCAATGCTTTTCCAATCTTTGAGGAGGCTCCTTCTATGTCTTCCCCCCCCCAAAAAAAAAGACAATTACAGGGTAGGTGGGGGGGTAAGTAGAACAGGGCTACTTGGATACAAGACAATGTTTCTATGACTAGGGAGAAATTCCATCGATACAGCACTTATGTGCATGCACTTTATGCCTCTCCACACATATGAAAAGAAGGTCCAGCAAATGGCCAAAATAACACTGTTTAATTAGCTTCCTTCTGGTCAAAAATAGTCTAATTGTCTCAACATTTTAACTTGTTTTTAATTTAACTATATCTCCCATAAGCCCATAACTTTAAATTGTGCAACATTCTGGCACAAATAAAGAAAGAGCTTCAACATTATGCTGAGCTACAAACTCCCTTGCTTCCTTTCAAGTTTGCTACTTCGCCTACATTTGGAATACAAGACAAAGGACATATCATCAAGTTTTGATCTTTCTTTCTAAATGAATACAACCCTTTTTACTTCCAAAATTCTGCTGCACAGTCCAGTTGGAGTGAAGGGGAGACGCTAGACAGCACTCCCCAGTGCACTCTGCCCAGTATCACCAATCTGTGAAGTCGACTTCATTTGGTCCACTGTACGTAGTCTTGATATTTGCAATGTACATAGCTTTAATAATGTACTTAACAAATCACAAAGTTTGAATTATCCCCCATACTATAGAATTCCTAAAACTCCATCACAGCAAAAGTACTGTAGTTAAATCACATCCACATTGTAAATCATCAGCCCCAAACATTCCACCTGCTAGCTGAATTAAAGTATGTCATGTCTGCATATCTCTTGAGAGCAAAGGATTTAGCACAACTGGCAATTGCTCCACTGCAGCAATATTTTTGCCTGTTTCAAGCGGGAGCAAGGAAGGAAGTGGTTTGAAACTCACCTTTCAGGCAGAAGGAAAAAATCACCAGGAATGTAATGAGGAGAACGGTGCAGAGGTTCATTTTCAAGGCACTGTTTTTGGTTCAAAGAAAATTGCAGCCAGCTGAAGAGGTTCGTTCTTCTAACTGAGCTTGCCGTTCACATGAAGTTCTGCAAACAGCCTACCGTACCTCTTGCACTTCCTCTGAGGCTCCACAGAGGCCTCCTTTTCTCTGGGAAGTGTGAAAGAGGAGGCAGAGCAGGCTTTTGAGGCTCTCGTTTCCTCCAGTGTGAAAATTTTGCAAAATTGGTTGATCAGCTTTTCTCCTTTGTTTCAAATTCTCCAAATTTACAAATGCATACACGTATTCTTGCAGAAAACAAAGCAGACTTTATAGTTAAGCACATTATTTGGCATGTTGGGCAAGACTCCAAACTCTAACATTTACATCAGAAATTTGGACCTATTTATTAATTCCAGTGGAGGCACAGCTTATGGTATCTGTAGTATAAAGTCTAAATCACCAATTACAGTGGCTTGGATCATAGGATAAGAGGAGTTAGTCTAAGGAATTTCACAAAACAAAACAGACATTTAGCATCCCTGCCTCCCCCAAGCCTCCTTCAGAGGCCACATGTACATAACCCACTGCCACAAGCTTCTCTGTAGTATAAGAAAGCCCTTTCGAACATGGAAATCCTGGATGGAGGAAGAGATAAGGAAATTTGCCTTAAAGTTTAAATAGTTTTTCATGCCTTTCACTGAAAACGATAAGGCTTTTGCATTTTACGATTTTATTCTTAAGAACTTTGAAATGTTCTAAAGATGTATTCTTTGCCTTATTAGGCTAGAAGCACTTATTATTCATTTGTACTCTTGAGAAAATTTATACTCTTAATGAAGATGGTTCTGTTCAGAATGTAACTTAAATCCATTTTTAATATTTTGTTGTATTTGTTGTAAATGCTCTTACATTTTCTACAATATTAGCTCCTGTATTTCAACATTCCTATGTTTTGTATTCAAGTTAGCAGAACTTACATTCACCTTTTAAGCATTAAGTATTTTTGCCTACAACTTTGTTTCTAGCTGTACGGATGTTCTTAAAAGTTACATGTTTGTAATATTTTTGAACTTTATGTTTTTCGTATGGAATTTAGAAATGATTAAATAAATAGAATGTGTATAGAATTAACACCTTTGTCTGACACTTCTGCCTATCGAAAACCATTCTGTTTCTCCATATTCTGTCCTAACAGTAGCTTCTTGTCTAGTGTAGACTAGAGTGAGGTTACTTATCTAGTGTTGAGGCACACACATTTCTTTGCCCCCTTACCCCAAAATAATCACCCGAGACCAAGCATGTGGGTTAAACACGGGCCACATTTTATTCAAATTTATTCAGATTTCATCATTGCTGCCAATCCTTTGGCAAAGGGGGGGGGGTCCTGCTGTAGTGCAGATTTAGGTTTCCCTCTTGAGTTCCAAAATGACCCTTCAAACAGCCAATGCGCTAAAACCCTGATCTCAGTTATCCCCTTCTTAAAGACAGCAGAATAACTGCTGGTCCAAATTTGACCACCCCGGACTCGTACCACTCTCTCTGTACTGACTGAGGGTCCGGGTGTGTCCCCAGCGCATCTTTCCCCCCAAGCACTGTAATCACACGATCCACAGTGCTGGGAATTCAGCTGAGCTATAATTACTTGCCATTACCATTAAACTTGAGGGACGTGGTGGCGCTGTGGGCTAAACCTCAGAAGCCTGTGCTGCAGGGTCAGAAGACCAGCAGTCGTAAGGTCAAATCCACGCGATGGAGTGAGCTCCCGTTGTTTGTCCCAGCTCCCGCCAACCTAGCGGTTCGAAAGCATGCAAATGCAAGTAGATCAATAGGGACCACCTCGGTCCGTGTCTAAGTCGCACTGGCCATGTGACCACGGAAGATTGTCTTCGGACAAAACGCTGGCTCTGTGGCTTGGAAACGGGGATGAGCACCGCCCCCTAGAGTCAAACACAACTGGACAAAAATTGTCAAGGGGAACCTTTACCTTTACCTTTACCATTAACCTTCCCTGTTCCAATACCTGTTTAATCTGCACTACCCGCCAGTATGACCAACTTTTTCCACCCTTAAAGAGGCCAACATGCCTCATCCAGTGTGGGATAGGCAAAAATTCCCCTCCTCCAAGGCTGCTCTCACAAGACAGCCACTTCATGGTCTCACGTGCCATCCGGGGAACTGGGGCAAAGGCCCGCCTCATTGCTGAAGCTTTGGCTCAGCTGCGGCATCATCATTTGGAACAACCCACCGGTTTAATGATCCACAAGGCCAAACATTTTGCTATAGATCAAAAAACATAATTCATGTTTACAATTAATTAAAGCGCTAAAGAATTTCTTATACAGAATTCCAAAGAAGGTTCCAAGCAGCCTGCTAAAATAAGATTGGGTTAGCCACTTGAAGTCAACAAGAACAAGAATGTTAAAAATAAATATTTTTTGCAACTTTTTGATTTCCCATCCTGGAAAACAAGAGCCAAAATATTAAATAAAAGAGGTTTTCGTCTTGCTGAGAACAAAAATATGGCTATCACATTTACATTATTGATCATTTACTTTAGCTATTTTTCCTGTAGCTCAGTAAGTGTTTTTCTTTATTTTAACAACCATGCAGCTTTATACCCTCCTTCCCTTGTTTACCAATATTAGAAATGCAAGAAGGTTTTCAAAAGTCTGTTTCCATAATACAAGACCAGAAGAAATTGTATCAAGGAAGTACATGTATTCAGTTATTGTAATTATCTACCATAATCCTATAACGTATATTTTGTATCATGAAGTTTACTTTTCCGTAGATTGTCAAGCTGCATGAAAACCTGCAGAAAACCTGCAGACATAGATGTGAGCATCAGAGCAGAGTACACAGCTTTTCCGTTATTTTCTGCTGATAATCATCAAATGGTTCTCCAGATGAGCTATTTCTCTTCTTATCTCAGCTTTTACTTACAAAACCAGGAAACTGCTGTCATATTGAAAGAAAGAAAAAATAGCAACACCAAGCCATTCCCTACCTACATAATGGAAACAAAGCCTGCTGCATACTTTTTCTCATAGGTTTCCACTACAGGAATGTAAGAAGCGAAGGAAATATAACATTTTGCTGCAAGGTGCTATTTAAAAGTTTAGCACTGACAGAATGTGTTGCGTAGGCCACCCCTCTTCAAATCTACTGTAACCCAGCAGTATCAGGGATGTTGTCCAGAAAAATGCTTGGTCACAGTTTCAGAGGATCACTGTAAACCATCTGTGCCTCATATAGGGAAACTTTAGCCCACAAGCCTAAGGTAGCCAAAGAATGTTCCAGATCCAGTCTACCACAGTGTCATGCTCTAGCCAATGTGGATGTGATGTCGCTCAAGGGAATGTAGTGGTGGCGCTGCGGGTTAAACCACTGAAGCCTCTGTGCTGCAAGGTCTGAAGCCCTGTAGTTGTAAGATCGAATCCATGCAACGGAGTGAGCCCCCCTCGCTTGTCCCAGCTCCCGCCAATCTAGCAGTTCGAAAGCATGAAAAAATGCAAGTAGATAAATAGGTACCACCTTGGTGGGAAGGTAAATGGCGTTCTGTGTCTAGTCGCGCTGGCCACGTGACCACGGAGGATTGTCTGCAGACAAACACTAGCTCTATGGGTTGGAAACGGAGATGAAAGCCTTTGTGTTTCCAAGCATACTTGGCTGTTTCTCTTGTCCCAGGTGACACTCCTCCCACATTACAATCTTCCTCTGTTTTGTGCTGGAAATGAGGACTGGGTTCTCTTCCCATCAGAGCTGACTGACAGAGATCAGCAAAGGAGTGGAGAGATCATTTAATTCTCATAGTAAGCACTGGATGTTGAGAACTGAAACTCACAGCTCAGTGTGCTGTTATGCGAATGAAGTGACACCGTCTGTTCAACCTAATTGTATGGTTGAGCGAAGAACAAGAACTAGCATGAACACACAGTGACTCATCTATCTGTTCTGAGCCCCGCACATTGCTTGCTTTGATGCTCACTTCCAGTTTCTCAAGAGTTGAGGGAGTTTGGGGTTGAAAAGGAGTAAAAGAGGTGGCCGGGTAATAGCTGTAAAGGTGAACATTAGAAGCAAGACCCATATCTAATTGATGGAATTCATTTTTTTGTTATGGTTCCTCTATTACTATTCTTACTTGCTTAATATATTGAAAGAATTTCATCCATTTAAATGAGTGATTAATGAAATTAACCATGTTGGCACAATTTCAGCCATCTTAATGCACAACAGTTTATTAACATGGCCTATCCATCACTTTGAGAGATTAAAAAAGGGTGAAATGCATAGTCTTTTTTGGAAAAAAAAATCCAGTTTATTTCAGTGTGTGATTTCTTATTCACTTCTGCCAATGCCACCATGCCTCATCCCCAAGAATCATAGTGGCAAGTTTTTATTTACCTGTGAGAAACAAATTGAGACTTTCAAATCTGCTTACATTACACATCAGGATTCCATCTATTATTTTTCAGGGATATTGGCAAATCTTTGGGTCTCAAGTCTGAGTTTGGGTCTTTGGTACCAAGCCCCAAGTCTGAGCCCCTATTAAAAACAAGCCTTTTTCCCCAGAAGAAAAGGAGGGGAGGATGGGTTCTGAGTCACAAATTGAGTCTGAGTCATTGAAAAAAACAACAACCTCAGAGTCAAGTGTGAGCCGAGTCGCTAGTGTGACTTAAGTCTGACTTGACAAGTCCCTTGACTCATCGTCATCCTTGTTATTTTTCTTATAAAACTGCATTTTACTAAATACAACCTCAGAGTCAAGTGTGAGCCGAGTCACTAGTCTGGCTTGATGAGTCCCGTCATCCCTGTTATTTCCCTTATAAAACTGCATTTTACTAAACGTATGACACTAATTCAGAGAAGACATTTATCTCGTTGAGGCAGAGAATTCGTATGTACAATAGAAAAGCTGAAGACTTAGCATTTTTGGAAAGGTATTTTTCTGGGAAGCCATACACCAACAGCTGCAGTTTTGTCTTGATAGCTTACTGTCATCTTGTGGCAGCTTTGTGAAAATGCAATTCTTAAACAGTCCATTATCAGCTGCAGTCTTATCTTACGTGCAAAGTTATTTACATATCACTTTGCTATGTTCATTTGATTTAGATGAGGCAAAATTGCTGTATTCCAGTCATGGGAGTCATCCCACCAAGTTTCAGTTATTCCTAGCAAGTCATAGTTGTCCTCCTGAATTAAAATTTCC